AAATATATAATGTTATGAGATTTAAGCTGTTTAGACTAAATATTTGTATTTTTTTGTTATAACTTGTAGTCATTCTAGGACAAAAAAGCATAATTTATATTTATTTCCTAATTTTTCATAGTGGTTACATTGTTGGTCAAATCGACCCAACCTGTACAGAGATACATTAGTGAAAATAGCAGATAAAATATAAAGTTTTTTTTTTCTTAAAAAAATGTTTGATAATTATAAGGAGGTTATAAAGTTTTTGCATGTGAAATTTGAAAATTTCCTGATTCATAAAAGTATTTTTTAATCTTAAAATCAAAATTACTTTGTATTTTGGATAGTCAACGTTCGAAAAGAAAAAAGGCATAAAAAAAAACATTACTTAAGAAATCTTAAAACTTAAAAAAATCTGATATTTTGTATATGAAAGCCTTGTAATTTTTACTGATAATATGCAAAATTTCGTGAAGGTACACTTACTAATTCATAAGTTATGGCATGAAAAGTATAACAAGCACAAAGTGGTTACGAGGTCAGTCCCACAGACCAAGCCCATGCTGAGAGAGTTAGGCACTTGTTATTAACCCTCTCCTGTTCAATGTCAATCACCATTTTGAAGTTAATCTTTTAGATCCATGTGCTATAAATTTTGTAATCATCAGTATTAATGATATAATCAGAAAACTAAAGGCTCTTTCAAGTGATCTTATACATCCAATCTCCAGCACTATATGAGACTTTACACTTCTCACTTGACTTGGGAAGACTGATCATTTACTGAGATTTCTCAGCATGCAGATTAACTTTTGACTTTAAAAACGATGCCAATATCAAATATATCACAAGAGTTTTTATTATTTCCTTTTCATTTAAAATTCTTTTAAGCTGTATTAGTTATAAAATTTCAAATGCCCAGGTATATGTTGTATGATTTGCTTTATTACACTGCAACAAAAATAAGTAGATGAAATATTTTAAAACTTTCTGCAAACTATGTAGTTTTCACATCTAAATTATTTTTCTAGGTGATATTTGTATGAATTTGCAGCTTTGAAAATTTGAAAAGTTTTCATTGTCATGTGTTTCTATAAGAAACAATTACAAATGCTTACATTTTATGTTGATTTAATTTACTGATTATTATACCTTCCTACATTCTTCTAAAATTTTCATATAAAGCTTTTATTTTATAAAAATGTAAATTCTGTCTGTTTGGATTTGAAGAAAGACCAGACACACTTTCATTGTGTTTATATACACCTGGAAAAAAGTTAAGCACCCCCAAATATTTTTCAGGATTGCTTATTGAAAATAAGGTTTAATTTTCATGATGTGGAGCAATGTTCATAATTTCAAACATAATTAAAAGGATGTGAGCGTTCAGGTGTGACATTTAAATCAGGTCGCGTTTTTTCCCCACGTGAAACTTGCTCCCTTCTTCACGTCCAATATGCACTATTTTCTCGTGCATCAAA